ACTCCAACTCCCCCTCGGACGTGTAGTGCCAACTCCCTCCCCTGGGTGTCCCAGACCCCTTCCAACCCAACTGAAGCCCTTTCACAATCAACTCTTGTAAGAAATCGTATAGCCTGTCATCAAGGAAGCTCGCCAACTCCACTTTTTCAAACAGTTGCTGCGTTAGCAAAGGGTACAGAGCGAATGGCACATGAGATGACCCTTTTGTCTGCTGAGGTCCGTACCCTTCGCGCTGCAAATGAAGCCCTAAGTAAACGCCGTAGGGCTAAAAAGACTCGTGTCCGCCAAGGAGGGGCACTTATAGTAGAGGATGTGCAGGATATGTTAGCTCAGGAGGATGTAGATGAGCAAGTACGACGCGACATGCGTGAGGCGGGGTTGGTTATAAGGAGGGGCAACCTTCTAGGCGGCGCTGTAGAACTTGTGGAAAAGCTGGTCATAGCGCGCGAACTTGNCGCGACATGCGTGAGGCGGGGGTTGGTTATAAGGAGGGGCAACCTTCTAGGCGGCGCTGTAGAACTTGTGGAAAAGCTGGTCATAACGCGCGAACTTGTCAAGAAGTTATAGATATATCTAGTTCGTCAGATATAGAGAGCGATAATTAATTTAATATATTGTGGTTGATTTATTTAGGTGTAAAGTTCTGTGCCAAGAAAAAGTGATCGACTCGGTGATATGATCGACTCGCTGATAAACCACGTTACATGATAAGGTAACACATTATTTATACATCAAACAGCGTCGTTAAAAGAAGATTCGAAAGAATCATAAAATCACTGATTCCCATGTCTAATGATTGAAATAGGTGTTGATTTATGGGCATAGACTGGTGAATCAACGTAGAGTTTACCTGGGCTACCTATAATTAGGTCCGAGGATCACCTGGTTATAGCTGCAGCTCTTTTAGCAGTTCCTTCAGCATATGGTTGAGTCTTATGTAGATAGACCAAGGCTCTGTGTATATGTAAGTACATAGTCTAAATTGAGAGAATGAAGTGTTGAGTGAAACTTTTATTGTTTTAATATTCTAAAATCACGCGTATGTCACGACATTTGTTCTAGAAACTCTTTAGGGAACCCGGTATTCCACACTAAGATCTTCAATTTACTTTCAAAAGAGAATTGAATCTTCCTTTACACCCCTCTAATAATGCCTGAAATTGCAGATACCGAAGTCTGAATTGATACAACAAATGTTGCTAGAGGATCTGAAGCGATTTTGGTATAGGGGTGACGGCGAGGTCCGTGATCTAAGCGAATGGCAAACTGGAGACCCTTATCATTTTCTATTTTGTTTCTCCAAGATAGCATGCCGCTTTTGGGCGTGTTCTGGAGTTCAATGTTTTGGGGACCATTTGCAGATCTTATTGGGTGCTGTAACACCCGGCAGCCTTCGTGATACGACCCCTCTTCTTTTATTATTGCAACACCATTGCCATCACAATTACCCCTCACAGACCGCCTCAGTCCAAACGGATTTGAGCCGCTTCTTCCGATTGGAGCGCAACATAGATGGACCAGCAGATTGAAACCTTGACAACACATCACTTGGCCCAATTGAAAACATACATCTGCAGAATTGATGCACCTTTCTTTGCTTTTGTGAAGTTGTACCATGACCTTATCGGTGAGGCCCAAAGTATTCTTTTCGGTAAACAAGATTTTGGTCATTGGTCAGCCCATTTAGCCACGTTCGCCCTGAAATCGCATAACCACTGGTTTGCGGTGTGATAATGCCGAACTCGTTCGTCCTCAGATTGTGAGTTGAAGAAAGGTTGAGGCTCTTTCAGAATGGCATCGCAGACTATGTGGAGACTAGCGCTGATAACTACCATTCTTTCTTCTCGGCTGGACTCTTCAAAGCCCACCGTTTGTATCATTTTTGTTGCTAGGTGAACTATCATTTCAAAGAATTACTGTACATAATGTGTTCCAGATCTCAAGTGGGGAAGCGACTTGTCTCCAGCCACAGTGACAGATCAGCCTACTTCTTACAGGTGGAGTACAATGCCGCCGATACCTTCAGCCACGGCCCCCAAGAGGCTTCTAGTAGAACCCCAGTTTTTGAGTACTCGGAGAACCATATCTGTGGTTTCGGTGAAAGCTACGGAGCCTCAAACAAGCGCCGTCGACCAAATTTGCCTCTTTGGCCAAGTGATGGGTCCGGACACCTGACCCAGGAAACATTCGAACCATCTTACATTACCCCTCAACCCCAGGAACGAAGTGACTGTGTTTCTTGGTATAATCTAGTCTATTCTAGCAGCACAGCCATATCTCAAGATCACGCACTCATGTCGTCAAACTCGGGGAACCTCCTATCCTCACGTAATTCCTCGTCAATACCACAACAGCCTCGCCATGTCTCCCCGACTCGTCATGGAAACCCCGCCAGCAATGGAACACAGCAAATGGAGGGCTTTCAAAGATCTCTTCCTCAGAGATCAAATAAGATTCTGAGTATGAGTAGCGAAGGAGAGGTACCTAGCGGTACATCAATAACAAACACATCATCACTTTCAACGACCGACTTAGTCAGAAATGGTGATAATTTCAGCCATAATTCTTGGGATATGGTGGAAGAAGAACAAGAATATACTACACAAGGGCTATTTTCAGACTTGAGAGGAACCTTCAGGCCTATTGATCAGGATTGGATGTTGGAAAACGGTCCGTGGGTGTCAGGTCTTGGTCTGGGACACACAAACAATGCGCCATGTTTGTCTGAGAACATTGATTTGGACATTTCCTTGGACCACCAGGACCATACAGACTCAAAGTTAGTGAACTTCCAATCTAGTGGGTCTAATGCGAACGCCACTTGGAACTCCAGTGTCGTCGTTTCTCAGAACTGCAGTCAGGCACCCACCTCTCAGTGGCCAGGCTACAGTGTAATAACACATCCTCAAGAGGAACCCGGAGGGACATCATATATTCTGCAGAATGGATCCAACAATCATTCCTCCAATACCTCGACATTCGACCGGGAGTTCACACCCAGTAGCTCTACGGGAGAAAATAGTTACTCACTCGAGATTGCCGAGCCCCGTAAGAATATGAGCTCCACAAAAATGAACCAAATAAATACTGACGATCTACTAAGAACCATGGCATCCGGCAGAAAGATATGAAAACTTCGCGAAAACTGGGACAAAAAGACCCAATGTACTCTTCGACACGCTAGGCGGGCGCTTTCTAGAAGATGAAACTGGTCGGCGGGAGAACACAAGAGTACCTGTTGCTCCTCAAACTCCTTATTCACTTCCATTTAACCCAAAATCAAATCAGAATAACGAAATTAATTTTGTGACACCTTCAAATGAGACAGCTCATGGTATTGACGAAGGAGCCATCTTTTCACTTAGAGGATCCCTCAATAATCAGTCAAATTCGTGGATAAGAGAAGTATCCAAATCACCTAACATTAGTCATATTCGAGTTGGCAGTCGATCTACCAGCAGAAACTCCAACCCCTCACAAAACGCAAGCTTCAAATCCCCAGGCATGCTTCTTCTCGAAGATACTCCAGAGCTTCGAGAATATCTGTCCAAGTCGAAGAAAACCTCAAAACATATTAGGATTGATGGGCCAGAACACTCTCCACTGGGTGATATGCACAATTGGGACAACACGTTTGTCAAGAAAGAGTCAGGTTTCACAGATGCTAAGAACCTATTGCAAAGAAAGGTTGCTAAGCGGAAACTAGGTCGAAGAACCGGTCCATTGGAGAAGGCAAAAAGAGAAAAGGCTAGCGAGATGCGAAAGGAGAAGGCATGTTTGTGTTGCAGAATTTCCAAAGCTACGGTACGCGTCTAAATCCACTTCTTACACATTTGACTGACCCCACATAGTGTAGTAAAGGGTTAACTTGCGCTCGCTGCGAGAAGCAAATGGTTCTGCTGCCCAACTTAATCTGTTGCAGACTTCATCTCAAAGATTACACAAGGCTCTTCTTACCAGGTCAGTATGAGAAGACAAAAGGTTGGCGAGCCGTCGGCTGAACTTCTATAGAACAAATGGTTCGCCCATTCCTAAAATCGGCGATTGATAAACTCGAGGCCAATGAAGTACCGGTACTTGGTTGTAGCCACATCGAATTCGCTGTGTCATCCGGTCCAGATTATCCAGACATTCACCTCAGAGTTCACACCTTGCGTAGCGATTCTGGATTCTTCAAGTGCGACAGTGTATTCGAACCTCTCCCTCTAAGAATTGCTCGCCAGGTTTCCATACAAGAACTCAAGAACACGCTTTGTAAGCATATAGGAGATGTTATTCGGCATCAACGAAATTATGGCGAAGTAGTATATGACAACACATCTCAATTGGCTTGGGATGTACACGAGGCTATATGGAACTACGCCAAGTCGGCCCCTGAGGTGGGTTCTCCCTTCCGCGCCCCTCTTCCTGGTTCAAGGACTAATCATCTAACTAGAATAAATTTCTCCAAAAACTATTGAGTCTGTACGCAATGCAGTACTTTATGGCAACGTCCCTAGTGGTATCACCAAACTACTCTGCTCGAAACATGAATGGCCCATTGACATACGACTCACGTTCACCCAATCTGCGCATGGTCAACAGGCAGCTCAAGCATGTAATGCTGGAGCTGCTTCAAGACACATACACTGAGGTATTGGATGAATTGGAGAATCAATTCCGACAAAAGCCAAACAAATATAAGTTGTGGGCCCCTTCCTTTTCTGCAATCCTGGTTCTAAATATGTGTACGGAGATGGTGCAAATAAACACTGATTTTCGCATTGTCAATGCTGTAAGTGACATGCAAAAATCGCCCACTGGACTGGATAGAAATGGAAACAAGGCCTCACGAGAGGCTAGTGAGAACCTTTGCCGAGAACTTGACGACAAGGCACTCAGAAGTGCCGAGAGTGGGTTCCACTTGGTATACAATAAGCAATCAAAGCTCAAGGATGGCTCCAAGAGTGATCGTGCTTTCAACCCTATACGGGATGGAGAGAATGTCGTGAAAAAAGAGAAGCTAGGCGAGAGCGTGGAGAAATTTGTGAAGAATGTACGCAATATAGTTCACAAACATAGTGAGTACATAGGAATATCCTTAGACAACACCAGCCAGCACCGAGACTAACCTTTTAGGACTCCTCCATCCCGATCCCAATTCCACGGCACCGATGTTTGTAAAGTCTCGGGATGTCTTGGCAGATCATTCGGTTTTCAGGATTCACAATTCAGGGAGACTAGTTTCGAGATTCATGCAATCACTGCTATGCTGAGCGTACAAAGGAGCAAAGGTGGGCTCGGCTATTTTAAGGGGTTCGGAGAATTTGGGTCACGAAATCATGATTGAAAATGAGAATGAAATAACGAAACGATAATACATAAATCTTGGCACGTACCATATGGTCTACACAAATCCGCAGATTATTATATTCTAGTGTTCTTTAACGTGTTGTATCTATGTAATCACTCTTCCCGATATCCAGTGGAACTGCTCTGCCCAAGAGCCATGGATAGATAAACTTGATCACCGGTGACCCAAAGAGTATGCGACATATGCATCTTTTCGATAGTACCAAAGTATGTAGCTGGTTATTGGCTTACCCAGAGCCTTGCATGTATCTGGCTGCGTGGCTGCATAGTGTCGTAAACATGTCTGTGGGGTACTCCAATGGAACATGAATTGAATGTCATCATTAAGCACACGATCTGCCATGGCCAATGACAGTAGTGTTTGCGCCTTATTCTTGACCGAAATGTACGCACGGAGCCCCACCGAGACATGTTCGGCAGATCAAGTCACGATTTCATACATGGGCTGCTCTGACCGATCCCCAAACTCGAACCCCCAGGCCGCTAAAACATGCTGAGATATACAAATCTAAAGCTCTCATAAATGACTTGTCTACTCGTACTTTACAGGAAGATCCAAAGAAAGATACAGGACATGTACTGTACACAACAAAATTCCACAACTCCAATGCTTCGATGTAAACATCAGTCTTCAATCTATACTCAAACAAGAATTCCATCGTTCCAGTTCTTATACCTCCCTCAATACTCCTTAAGCGACACTGTGGACATTCTATGGGTATACTGTGCAAAGTCAGCGTTGGTATCGCCGCGCGGGGCCTAGCAGATGGTGTGGAAAGACAGCCGAGGAAAATTTCCGGATCATACAACGACAATATTTGATCTCCGACCCCTCAAAAACATGAAATGAATATTATCATTGGCAACATTTCAATGGTATCGGCCAGTCAACTATGGCGTAGATGTGTTGCATCAAAAAAACAAACCTGCTGCTACTTGGAAAAGATATCTCGAGATATCCGGTGGAGCTCGGGTCACAACGCTTGTTGGAAGGGGGCCAAGAGCAGTAGTTGTCGATATGAGGACTAGTCTGAAAATTCTGGGGTGAGATGATCTAGACGACACGGAATACATTGGGGCAAGGAGTCCTCTTCTGAATAACTTCACCAATACCGAGCCTGTTGACTCCATGGCCATTGAGGATTGTTTGCAGAATTGTTGAGGGGAAGCTGCCCAATAACCCCAACAGCAGCCAAGCTATCGAAAAGGAAAGGAGCATCATCAAATGAGATGTATGACTTACTTTTGTGTACTCGTCAACCTCAGTCCGCCCCCCTCGCCCAGAGCGCTAGTAGTCCTGTTATCAGTCAGAACTTGTCCTTGTTGAGAATCTGCTTCGTCAGCAATCTGTTAGAAGTTCACCTACTCCATCAGGGGGGTTCCCCGGCTGGGGATCATCGGATCCCCGACTTGCTAAAGACTCTCTCCCCGAGACCTGCAAGAATGTTAGACATCGCTTATTGGCCCGGTGCCTTTGCCCTCAGCACCCCTTTAACAGGCGGGAAGATATCCCGTGCATGATGATACATCTTTTGCAGAAAGAAATTCATCTTTGGTGTACTTACCAGGGTGTGCTTTGCAAGTGACATCTTGATGGATGGGAAGAAATTGGCGTTTGGAGTTTGTGTTGCTTTCGTATTGACGGTGGTAATCGCCCTGCTTGTGGGAAGACGAGATCTAGGTAGGCGGTACGGGATGACCTCTTACTCCCAATACGATGGTTGGTTGTTGGGTTGGGAGGATTATTGAAGGACAGAGAGGAATTGAGAGAATTTGTTTAAGCGCTGTGGAAGTTGAGTAAGAAATCCCCTTTCCTTGAGCCACAGTTCGGATGGAGAACAATATTTTATCTCTTAACAATCTTCTGCGTTCCGCAATAGTTGACAAAAGCTCAGATTTGAACTAGAATAATACACTGGGATGAAATGGGGCAGAAAAAATGTGAGAGGCGTTGACTTGGACCGACACTTCTCATATATACAAAGTGTTTGATCCTTCCGCAAACAGTGTTTTTTCACCGGCTGGAGAGCGCCCTAGATGAGTCGCAATAGGGGCTGTGAAAATAATGCTGGCGTTGAATGCTTGTCATGGTTTTGGTACTTAGTTTGAAAAGCCAGTTGCCTGAATTTTCTCGGAAGGAAGAGCCTCGAGACCGAGAATTCCAAAAGAGAACGTGAGTCTACTTCAGTTGTTGTGGGTCTTCAGCTTTCATGTCGCACGATTTCGCGTTTGCTTCTATTCGGTGAACTTAAAGTCAAAATTAATTGAAATCTTACATTTACGCGCCTTGAGCCAAATCCGCATGCGTATCTTTCCTTTTTGGGAATTAGTTATAAGCAGGTCCACTGAACTTTCTCTTTATTCAAAAATGTCCTATAATAAGATGTGTTGTCCAAATTTACAGCACTGTTCTCGCATTTCATGAAGATATCCTTCCATTATTTTCCGATTATCTGAAAATGGACTTAGATACTTCTCCACTGCCATCGTCCGCAGGTCGAGTATATTTTGCTAATTGCTAACTATCAGCAGTTTCTCAGCAGTTTCTATGCTGGGAACTCCTCACATGGGCTAACTAAGCCGCCTGTTGGGCCCACTTCCGTGTGAATCATCCACGAACGGCATTACCAGTGCTTTTTACTGTGGCCAATAGTCTCGGTATCGTTGGGGCTTGGTTGGATACGAGATGGCTTAGACTGCTTCTACAGCAAAAGCCTCGCGGGTTGTACCTGTGGTGATTTGGTATAGTAAGCCTCCGGGGCCGCCCTGTGAAAAGCCTCTTGAGCGCTGGAAGAATTCGGAACCTAAGAGGAATGCCTGTATCAGGCAAGCCACATTCACATGAGAATATAGAGAGTTTCAGCTTGCGAGAGACGGAGGGCTTGACCGTGTTTTCTTATATTCCAAATGAGGCCGACAGGTTCGTGGTATGGGCGCTCCCCGGGTTTGCAAATGAACACTCTTCTCAAGGCTCAGTCCCACATCGATAACCTGTCGGGTGGCGAGCAAAATAAAACTCCCGGAAACGTGTTACCGAATTATTGTTGTTCAAGATAGCGATGCGTTATGGGCTGGTCGTGGAAGCGAGAGGGACCTCCTTACGAATTTTGCATTCTTCGGCTAATCACAGGAGAGTTGTGGGGATGCTGTAAGTAAAGAGCGCGGTGGAAGAGGAAGGAAACACATAGCTCCCACAAAACAGAAATTCGACATTTTGATTTCTCAGACTTGTTTTTCATCACAAAACTCTTAATAGATGGCGTCCAGATGAAATAGACCTCTGTTATGGTCTATTGCCTTTACGTGACAGTTTTTACAACGTAGTGTAAACTTGATTTTCACTTCAGTGCCTTGGATATTTCAAGACAGCCTCCAGGGCATTGTCTTTCCTGATAGATTTGTTTTTTGAGTCTCAACGCTTCTCTTTCGTTTACATATATTTTTAAGTCTAGCGGATTGTATTGCATCACCTCTATTGGAACCTTTCCTTACTCCGTTTTACACTAATTCTTTCAACAAGAAGTCTGTACTTATTTTTGCCAATACTGTCTGAGAGAGAGTCAAAACCTCTTACCTTCCGAGCCATCTTAGTTGAGTACGAGTCATCGTTCAATATTTTCCACTTGAAACGGTAAATGTAAACAGAGGCCCAGAGGGTGGACAGCCTCCCTGTCCAACGCAATAAGCGGAGGTTTTGTGTGCATCACCGGCCCCTTTCACCTGTGGGCTGTTTGACTGTTCCAACTATACGACGTATACGTTTCTCCGTTAATACACCTTGCCCCCAGTTCCAACACCCAATTAGTATCAAGTCGGTGAGGAAATGAGGCCCATTGTCAGGACACATGCACATGGCATCAGAATAACCCTATATCAATGAATCGACCCTTAGACTCTGTAGTAATTACACCCTGGTACCCAATTACATAGTGTGCTGACAACGCAGGCACCCACACACTCATAGTTCTTGCTTACCGTTTATTGCTACCGCCTCGGATGTCACTGCAATTCGGTCGCGAATTTTTTTTCGGTGAGGATTTGCACAAGTTGATTGCGAGTCGCCTGGATGCCTTAAAATTGGGAAACTGTGTGCCACGTTTTGTCCCACCGGATTCAGCTCACCGTATGGCGTAGGTGTTGTCAAACTACTCGGGGACGAAGTTTGTTCATAGCGCAAAGAAGTGAGGCTCTTTTGCTAACCTTGTGGGTGCGTCCAAAGAAAAACATTGGTTCTGGCTTATAACTATGGATGTTTGCCACTAGCTACCAAATACCTAGGTAGTTCAACAATCAGTGAAGTCACGTGCTCATATACTTTATCACGTTTTGTAAATGATGACAGGCAATGTTATGTTCGCTCGGAATTACTCGCAGCCTTACGCCAAACATGCAAGTTTCCCGGGAGGTCACCATTCCAACAATGTCTTTGATCCCAACGCTTTCCACTCAACATCCTTCATGTCTGAAAGTAATCATCAGAGTCCCAATGTAAGCGACTCCGCTCCACGGCACAAGCGGCATTGCTTGCAACCAGAACAGGATCGAGCTGGGGAGGAGATCTATGGCCCCACACTGAAATGCGTGCAGTCCATCTTCGATACTTGTGAATATACATCCTCTACAGGGGAAGCCAACGAAATCATATCAAAAACTTCGCTCCCTCCAACAGGCGATCCCTTTTCTCTGACCCAATTTGTGCCATCAGATATGGGGACTTTTCGGTCTTCCAAGACCGTTTCTCCAACACCTCAGAGTCACGCCCCTGGCAGCCATCCCCAACATCAGAAAGCTATACCTCAGGAAACGTTCAAGTCGAGTCAAGTTCATTCTGAGGACCCTAAACCTTTCTCCAGGCTAGAAAGAGACAATCGCGATGTTTTTAAGTCAAGTTCAAGTTTATCGTCTTCTGTAGTGGCAAATGATGGCTTGGGATCTCGAGCTGATTTCAGTCCCACGTGGACGTCAACATCTGGTGAATCATGCCAGGTTAGTGAAGTCGGAAATGAGTATACAATGCAACATTACGGTGACGGTTGCACATTTGGTAGCACAGAGTTGGAGCCCAATTCTTGGGCATTTCACGGCATCGAAGGTTCTTCCAATAGGCCATGGATTCCGACAATTTTCACTGGGAATTTCTCGGATGTTAATCCATCACCGATTGACTTTTCAATCAGGTCGGACTTTTCACAGGTACTCCCCTTCAATACATTACGCGGCCAAAGTGATTTTAACAGTGTCCTAATGGATATTAATCACGGATATTTCCCCCCGAATAGTTGGGTAAATTCATTGCAAGGCACAAACAGAGATCCTGAGTTAAGGTCACAGTTCAATTTTGGCACAGACGACGAGACAAGGAGCCTCCAAACTGCTCATAGCCATTCTATAGAAGAGGACAGCATCCTCAATGAAGGGCTGTCCATGGCTGGTATTTACAATCTTTCATTGACATATAATATCAGCTGTTAACAACTAGTTAGAAAATTGGACTCCATCCGCAATGTTAGAAAACCATACAACAGAGAGACTCGAAGCATTCTCTCGCATCTCAGAAAGCCCTTTGATAGAACAGGATCTGAGCGGTATGGTAGGAGAACTTCCAGATATTCAGCAGTTTTTTGATTACGATCCCCCATCAACGGCGCCGCATCCGATGTATAAAGCTACAGAGCAGACCGACACACCCGAGGAAGTATCTCCAAGCGTTTCTACCGAAAGCTTGGTGGTTTGTGGACCAAAGATTTCGAAGGATTCTTCCAATCAAACGGTAAACATAGAATACCCGTCTCTAGGCCTCATCCTAGTGGAAGATACACCAGAACTTCGAGAATATATATCACGATCCAAAAAAAATATAAAACGTTACGATATATCAATGCTTGATGAAAAGTCCTCAGAAACCGCTTCAGACTTCAACAACACGTTCGTCGATGAAGGATTCACTGATGCCAGCAAGACACGACCGAAGTCTTCCGCACAAAAACGAGGACTGAGACGAGAATTAGGACGAAGAAATGGTCCTTTGTCAGTAGATAAAAGGAAACACGCTAGTGCGACGCGGAAAGAGGGAGCTTGCCTACGATGTAGATTGTCAAGAACAAGTGTATGTACCAAAATTCGTAATCCTGATATACTCTACTAACTTGTTTAGTGTGGTAAAGGGGAGATTTGTGAACCCTGCAGGAAGCATTTGGCCATGCTCCCGAGCCTCATTTGTTGTAGAGCATATTTTAAGGAATTCTCGGCTCTATTTCTTCCCGGTAATCGTATTTGAAATCTAATTTTGGCACTCGCTTATACTTCATAGAACGTTTGTTCCGTCCATATCAAAGCTCATTCTTGATCCAACAACTCCAAGCGAATCAAGTGGCTACAGTAGATGACAGTCAATTCGAGATCAATGTCTCGTCAGGTCCAAACTACCCACCAATCCCAATCACTGTTCATGTTTTACGTGGCAATAAAGAGTTCTTTAAATTCAAGAAAATCATGACCGATTCCAACAAGGACTCAAGCTTCGTATCATTTGACACTCGTCCATTGGGAATCCCAGACCATTTCTTAACTCAGAAGATACAACACAGACTTCTCGAACATATAGAAGCTATTGTTGAGGGCGAACGTAACTACGGAGAAGTTCTCTATGATAACACATCTCAGTTTACTTGGGATGTGCATGAAGCGTTATCAAAGTTGTATCATGCAAATCCACAGGTAATTTCTCGCCTTCGTTTCCTATTGTACTAGAGACTGATTAGAAGCAGAACAAAGTATATAAAAGCTGTATGAGCTTGTACGCTATGCAATACTTCATGACTAAGAGTATTTCATTACAACCGGGATTTGTCGAAAGCGCTTGGAGCAACAAATACGGTCCCTTAGAGTTTAACATGCTCTCTCCAAATTTGAGTATGGTCAACGATCAGCTAAAAGCTGTCATGTCACCTTTGATCAGAGAAGCCTATGTTGAAGTTTTGGATAGTTTGGATAAGCTCCTACGGCCAAAGCAGCAGAAGTTATGGGCCGAATCCTTTTTCTGTATTCAGACACTGTGTATGTGCGCTGAGATGGTACAAACCAACATGGATCTTCGAGTTGTTCGTGCGCTCCGTGATTCTTCAGGCGGAGAGGGGGCAGCAGCAAATCTCCGAGAAGAAAGTATTGATGTCTGTCGAAAGCTTGATGATGTGGCTATTAAAAACGCGGAAACCGGTTTCCACCTACTTTACAGCAAGTCAAAAATACTTAAAGACGGCGGCATACGAGATCATTCTTTCAATCCCATACGAAACGGGGTGGAAGTCGTGAGGAAGGAAAATCTTGGTCATAATACGGAGGAGTTTGTGGATAGGCTTCGCACTATTGCGAACAACCATAGTGAGTACTCGCTCCTAGGATAACGTTACTACCCTCAGAACTGATTTGTATCAAAGAACACGACTTCAGTGACGCAGCATCACGTTTGTCTTTCGATGGATCTCGGGACGTACTGGAAGATCATCTCGTGTTCCGTAAACACAATTCTGGACGGCTTGTCATGGCTTGTTTTGTGTGTAACCTTCACCGAAAATCCCAAAACAGTTCACCGAAAAAATTCGAGACCCTTTCTGTCCACAATTTTCGGACTAGCGCTTCATACTTTACATTCACAAGATCAGCCTCTGACTAAACACTGCTGAAAAAATAATCGCTTTTGATAGTATTCTTGGTCTTCTTTCAAACCTTTCTCAACTGTCCCAAGAATTAAAATTAATTCGCAGGATGAGCTTCCATCGGGTTTCAAACAAAAGAAAACCGCCAAAAAAGACTTCAGGACGCGGATAGACACTCTATCAACCCGTCCTCGATTTGTAAACACCTGCTATACGTTTTCCACGATTACGTGTAACTTTCCCCTCCATGCTTTTCCAACAACGACGTCCTGGCAAACTTGAATTAGTTAGCATTCAGAGTTTGCTAAGAGACAGGAATAGAGACACATAGTAAGAATATCATCGCAACGGCAACAGGCCAATAGCTAAAAGAAAGAGAACAGATACCGGAAGAACTTCAAAAGAACCTTGATGGAACGGTCAATGAGACAGCAATCCCACCGGCAACTCATGAAATCCCAGCTACACTGTACTGCAATATCCTCTAAGCTCTCTTGAAGTTTTCAGTAGGAACCGAGCCTTGCTGACAGAGCATCGGAAGGATGCCCCTTCGATTGGTCTACGAAAAGAGAAAACTCGGTGAGGACCAGGTCAACAAGGCTTTCAGAAAACCTATATAACTTGCGGCCCTCACTCAGCAGTACCGCAAATCTGGTCAACAACCAACGACGTATATTATAGTACCAATCCAAAGAAACAAGCAGCATACAGATGGCGAAAGCGAAACCTTACCTTCTGACTTGTCACTTATGTTTATCCATCTCACCGAACATTCTTTACTTCTTGTATGAGTTAGAAAGTGTTCTCAAAGAACATGAGCATTTCACTTACTGGGTCGTCCTCATTGGGCCTAGCGGGAGGCTTTGACTCGCGGTATAAAACAACTGCACAACACTGCATCGGTTAGCCATTGGGTCACATGATAATCATGTTGTCATCATGTGTGACTGTCCCCCCTGGTCGTTGGAAGATGCGGGGTTCACGGGCATTTACGACTTCCTCCGTGCCACACAGCCAGCCCGCCCGGAACCAAAGTGTACATGGCAACTTTGCGGGCGCAGGGCACGAGGAGAAAGGGACGGTGAGAGTTTTGGAGCCAGGTTTGACGGACGATGAACAACACAATCGCACGTACCGAAGGTAATGGCGACATCTGCAATTTTGGGAAATCGCAGGCGCCGGCGGTTTCAATGATAGTGGACAATGCCATTGTGTTAGATCTGCTCCTTGAGTCGCTCGCAATTGATGCCGCCAATTCTTTATGCTTTTCTGATAATCGAACGCAGGTAAATCGATATAACGATAGTGTCGTCGTGAGCTGCAGAGCCTTCGTTGCTGAGAAGTCGATGTCGAAAATATATCCAAAGAGAGTCTTTCCACGAGAGATACCCACTGGATCTTGTGGGATTTGATGTGTCTTTTTTGGTGAACAGCGATTTCGGGCTGGTAGGATTAGGAAGTGTGAAGAATGTGTGTTGAAGAAAGGAGAAAGATAGTGCTGTCGGAGGAGAGGGGGCTTAACCGAGGTGGGTGGGAGGATGGAGCTTGGACGACCAAGTCACCTGCGCAATACTACGAGTATTTGAGGTGTGAGGCAACTTTGCGAAGGCACGCCGCTTGGGCTAAGAGCGAGGCGACAGCCACCCTCCGTCATTGGATCAAGGGCGTCGTCGCCCCCGGGTAACGAGTGTTGTCAGTTGAGCTGAGCGGGACAATAACGAGCGCCAATGCCCTCATGGTTCAGGGACTCGGAGCCATGGCGGGATTTATTGAGGAAAAGTCCTCTTGATTGTTGAGTCCCATTCCTTGCTCTTTTTGCTTTCTTTTCGCTCCGGCATATCTGTTGGTGAGGCACTGGATCTTTGGCCGGATGCGTCGCCTTTCTCTCATATAGCGCATCTATATTCTCTACACTCGCTGTATTATCTTGCTTTTTTGTATGGTTGGATCTCTAGTGAGAATCCTTCCAATTTTAGCCGCGATTGTTGCATATCATGGCCCAATCAACCGAGCTTTCAAAGTACGCATAGCAGCACATGATGAACTCCCCGCAGTTTATGCAGTACAGATTTGCACTTTTGGAAATGTCAGATTGTATGGTGCTTCTGTTTTCTCTCCTGGATCTGCCAAACTTCTATCTGCCCCGAAAACTGCCTAGGGCAACGGTTGGTTGAAAGTTGGGCATGTACAGATGCAAAAGCACGGGATGAATTATTAAGTATGACTCACGCAGTAAAAACACTCAATTCTGATGCAGCAGATCGACACCCGCCTTTCCATGTTCGATTTCTTCATTTTCTGAATATATGATGGCCAGGGTTGCCTGCCAATATGAAGATTGTAATGGTTCCTGATTTCATCGGCTGGCTCATTTGCTACGATGACTGAGGAAACAGTTCAGAGATTCTGCGTATGCGCTCTGCTCAAGGCTAGTGCCATTGATAAGAACTTTCTCTGTCCGCTCCCTAGACATGTAATTTTTAGCTACCAATGGAACGATTCATCATGGACCCGACAGTTTTCAACCCACCTAGCCTCTTTCTGAATCTATACATTTGATTTCTAAAACCAATGCTACTAATACAAACCCCTTCATCAAACCTCTAATTCTTCGTGATATCTGATCAGGCTGAAGCCCGCACCCGGTAAGTGGACAGTACCCCACAATCTGCCGGCTCGGGTAGGCGGTAGTTCTGACTTTTCATTGCCTTTTTCTCAGAAACCAGCACCACGGTTCCCTCCTTGGGCCTTCGCACATCGGCATTAATCATGGAAAATCATGCCACCAGGCCAACCTTAGTTTCGGGGTAACTAATCATTGATTCGTGCATCGCCAACGCCCTCGCATGTAAAATCAGGATCCTAGGCCAAATTACACGAACCAACTACTCTGATTAGAGGATGTAAAAGTCTCTCTTGAGCACCATTATTTGCCAGCGATTGGTTTTTTCACGATGCTAGTGGTGTATTTGAAGGGCGAGAGGGCGAGAGGGCGGTGGGGAAACGGGGAAGGATAAGCTTGAGGGTAAGCTTACTCACGGTGTCGTGTAAGACTACAATATCGCCGAACCAATCTCTACGCGTGCTTCATATCTTTTTCGTAAACAGCTAGATGGATTCTGAAATCTGGTCCAGTTATAATTTCTTACTTCTACGACAAAACAAAGTGAAATCTTTCACGGGGGCTCAAGTTGAAATGATGTAGGTAGGTAATCAAAGAGTAGAACTCGATATCATAATGAAATCTGTTTGAAACCATGAGAGAGCCTTCATTTCTAAATGACGTCCTGAACTGATTATACAGAGAAGCGAGGGTGATCAGTAGTAACAAGTAGGTGTTAAGTGCGAGTGAGTAACTTTTACTATTGCAATTAAGTAGAAATACACAAAATCTCAGCTTACTTGATGACTATTTTCTCCCTTCAAACCTGGCTTCAAAATCTTGTATATACTCTCATATACTTTTCATGATAAAGTAATAGCAGGCCTCCCTCGAAGAGCCGGAAATGGGGTTTTAGCGCGCAAGCACATTTATTCTTCTACAGTATTTGGTATTACATAACTTCGATCTACGCGAAGAGAAATTTTTAGAAGTTGTAGAATCTATTGATAGTAAAATAAGACACGTTCATGAACAAGTCTTGCCTGTGAGTTATTCCAAGGTTGCCTTTTTATGGAGAAGACGAGGTCAACTCAGGGGCTCGTCAAGCGCTCGCTTGTACCTTGGTGGGGCAAAAGCATATAAAAAGGGAAGAAAACTTCTCTCGTGGGATATAGAGTCGTGTCTAACTATGTAGCCTAAGCTATTTTGTACTTCTGCGCTCAATTTACAATTCTGCGGGCATTGTAACATACAGATATGGAAGCTTTATTGTTCATGTGCGTATATGTGGACATGTAGTATGCACTAAGTCGACCTCCCGAGTGCTGTGGAGACGATGGTGCAACTGATTAAAATCGGAGTCAGCGGCTTTAAGCCTGCAACAGGAGCATTTTCTCTGGGTAGAATCAAATAGAAAAGCAGTAAGAGTTTGTTAAGAAACGGGAAATGGAAAATAAGCCGCGGATGACTCTCTATGTTTCCAATGGCATGAGAACTTTTGGTGACGAGAAGGTTTTCCTAAATTCCACTCCTGACAACGCCACCCAGCATTCTTTTCCTCGTTTTCGGTTTCCAATTATAGTAGCATCCCATGTTTCCTGAATTAATGGCAGTAATGAATCGAGTCATCGACGAATTAAGTGGTAGAACTCGAAAGTCAAGTTATCAAGTATGAGATTCTATTATATCTTACTGGGGTGACCTATATTCTGCCAATTGGAGCATGAGATCCTTTCATATTCTCGTAATATGGACCAGTTTACTCGCTACTACAGTAGGTTTACCATCTCATGTTAAGCAACGAAATAAACTTCGTGTGTCTGTCTACTTTTCAATTGGTCTCGCCAAAATTAATCGAGGTAATTGACCCCGTCGCTATGTCGACATCAAGATAAAACCCTGCTGAAGAATCTGATTTGTGGTCTGCTATCTATCAGTGCCATTAATCGTATCTAAAGTCGCTGTTAGGACAAAATTCAAGAGGAAATATTGGTAAATCACCTCAATTCTAGCAGATGCAATTTGAGGTAGGAACAATATTATTCCACTCACGGTATAGATTAACGTAACCAAGATCCTTCTTGGAGTTTGAGCCACTCACTGTAGAGTACGCTTGTCTGTTGAAGTGGGGTAGTCAGACGGATAAGGTTATCAAACTGTGCCATGGCGTCGCTCATACTGCTTACTACTCGTCTCCCCGCAGGGCAGTACGAGATCCTTTCGCCAGTCTCTCCGATTTACGAGCTCGTATTCCTTGTTCCCCGACTAGTGCATTCGTTCGTATGAAGCTATGCCCAATCAAATTACACTTTCATTCTTTTTGTCCCGTCCATCCATTGTGCGTGGTCGTCACGTGTCGACCTGGATTTGAGTGGACTTGCGAAGTAAAGCCTTGCCAAGATGATTCTCGAAATAGGCGCAAATGATCGTTAAACTTTACATGCTTAATTATTAAGCAGAGGCCATGAAATCTTGATGCCCCTTTAGATGGAAAAGCAAAGTTCCCCATTTCATCACGAATCAGCTTCGGAATATGGCCAAGGCAATATTCTAATTGATAATAAGCTCTAACTTAAAAACGGTACTATTTATTTTAAACCCTCGCTTAGCACGTCTCTATCAATTGAAGAGCTTAGGAGTAAATTGATTCTTAACCTGGCGTCTTATACGTAAACACATACACACCGCTATGGTTTCCACTCTGTCACAAGCCTAAATACGAAGAACAAGACATGTAAGACAAAAGCGCTAGAAGAACAAGGCTTATAAGTACTGCTAGTTATTGCTGTTCTATTAAGTATAGCGTACTGATTTTCGGTACTTGTACATTAACCTATTAGTAGCCGCTACCATTAATACAAATAGTTTTGTAAGGGTTGAAATCATAGGTAGAACCACACGGCACTTTTCTACGGCGTTATTCACAACTATTAGCTATACCTAACATCTACAAATCGTATACAAGTTTGCATCACTATCCTGATTTATAGCGCCAAGATCCTGATTCAAGTGAATTGTTATTGAAGGTAAAATTCAAGCCAAACAAGCTTGATATAAATTAAAGCCAAGTATTCATTTTCCTAATTCAGCTTAGGTGCGATTTACTCGCGTAGCTTCTCTATACAGACGGGCCAAGACCAAGAAATCCGCCTTGTTCCCATTGCCTCAATCCGGGGAAGCCAAGGGGAAACAGACTAAGTTCCACGTCCTTGATTTCAACTAGATCCTTATTATTCTCTATGCCATGTATAGATTTTTAGCCTTTCGTTACCAGTATTGGCTTGCCGTGGCCATCTATGTCTATTATTGTCTATCAAAACACTGTAATGGGTTCTTAGTAAGCTGAGGACGCCTTGTATTCACGCGTATCAATAAAGTATTATTAAATACTCCACTATTAGTCACTTCTCGCACTATGTAGTACTGCATGGAAAGGCCCTTGGAACTCTTGATTCGAAAAATGAATATGCACAGAAATTAACTTGAAGCCCCCTAAACATTCCTCACAACTTGTACTTCTGAAGTAGAGTGAGTGCCGGAAAAGGAGTGTACCTAAAAGTGGAATAGACGAAGGGGCCCGGCGATTCAAGACCCAAGTTGCTCGATTGCCTGTAAAACAGGTGTGGCAAGTCGAATAGACTGGCTTTGCGGGGAAAGTGGTGCCAAAGTGTATCCTTCTACTCCACTGTCGAGTACACATTCTTACGGGGTCTGTCCCGTCAGTAGCGAGGTTCTTGTCGTAGTCATTCACGATTTTTTGTTCTTTGAGCCACTAGCTCCATTGAATTCTCCCACGGTACTGTGTTACTTTTCATTCTTGGGACTGCTGATCACAAGTGTCCGAAGAGTGGATATGTCTCAATTCTCTAAGCTTGTTCTGGAAAAGCTTCGATACCCAGTGCCAAATTTGGCGAAACTTTTGATCAATAGGATTACGAAAGGATCATTACTCGCACTTTCGGTCTGTTTAACTTGTTTCTACCAGTCGCGGTCTTCTTGTGTCTTATTTTGGTCGAAGGATCACTCTCTTCCAAGTCCTCGGTAAATCAAGGTCTGGTTTCAGACAAACTCTAAATCGACATGTAGGGCTGCAATCCACACGGGATGACGGCAAGCGAGCCCAAAATTGCGGAGTGGTGCAAATACAGTTAGCAATCCACTTGCATATTTCTTTTCTGCAGCAATGCATAATTTCAATTCATTAATCTTACTTTATATGATCTTATCAAATACTTGCGACTAGTCATACTTGCTGTAGGTCTGCCTGAATAATTGCTGCTTTTGGAAGACGGCTTGGGATGTGACGCTGCAGCAGTGGAGTATTCCCATCGTCAAGTCACTTGATATCTTAAATTACATGATAACGATACCAGGTATGGCCAACTTTTGATACTCGTATTTGACCCAAATATCTGTAATGCAGGTTGAACTCCAGTACTATACAGTACATTTACGTTAAAAGTCAGGCGATCAAGTCTACTACTTCGCCTAAATTTGCCTTTGGTCGCACAGTTCGAAGGTCCAATAACAAGTCTTTACGAGGTAAAGGGCTAAATACAGAGTAAAGTTCACTGGAGGTGTTCGCGTCCCCAGCTCTTTGATCATCTTGTGGTTGAAGTCCCATAACCTTACGTGTGGCCAAGATCAGACGAACCTTTCTCGCAAGGGTGAGCGCTGTGGCCCATGTAGGCGACATGACAAGCACAGCCATCATGCAGACCTCCACCGAAGATCTACCTCTACCGAGTCTTGTATCGATGATACGAAGTACGGAGTTCGTGGATGGAATTCTAATAGCGAATTGCGGGCGTGACAGAGAGGCTGATTCAAACAATTTCTGGTCATGCGGACTATAACATAAAAGTCATGTTCCTAGTTGTTAAAGTATTTTACTTCGATTTATAGTACTTCACTCAATGTAAATCCCGGAACTGCACCATGGTCCATGACCAAGATTAATGGTAGCGGGTCCTATATTTCTATTTGGGTAGTATTCCCCACAACCTAATACCCACCACTTGGTACTTTGTACGTTGGAGAGTTGGAGGGTGGAAATTAACTTTTGGCATCCAGGTTCTCGAAACACAATGATCATCTGTAAGCCAGAGATGCGACGATACCAAGTATGGACCGTACTGTACTTATATACACGAGCTTTCCAACTCTCGTTTCCAAGCTTCTTTTGCTTCCCAGCCGACTTTGTTTGGTCGCTTCCGTTCGTTCAACTTCTTCTGCACACTATTATTTTCATTATATCTCTTTCAACATAACCATTATATTCAATAAAAAAACTCATTTCGATCCCTCTCCTTCTCAAACCTATAACGTCCTAAAAATATACATCATGCGGCGCTCCTCCATCGTCACCGCCATTATTAGCTGCCTTTCTAGCCTTTCAACCACCACCGCTTCTCTCATTCCGATCGATGCTCGGTCTTCGGTTTCTTTGATCGGCTCACCACAAATTATTGAAGAAAGAGACAGCGAACAACTTAAAGCAATTGGGAAAGAAATTGGCAAAGAAATTCAGAAACAGGTTATTTCAGCTGTTGTTTCATCTGCCATCGCCGGTGCCATCGGTGGTGGTAACCCACTTTTTTCTTTTGTAGCAAAACAGGCCGTCAAGCAGGCAGTCGATGTTCTCCAAGACTTGGGAGAATGGGATGGGGTATTTTCAACCCCCGTATGATCACCAAATAAAGTTTCTAACATCTCCTTCAGGCTCGTCAAAAGTTCACCCAAGAAGTCACCGCTCAGATGTGGGATATGAACCCAAGCCCAGAGACCATCGTAGCCACCGTTTGCTATAATAAGGGTTATGATGTTAGCGACACATCCAAGATTGTGAGCTTGATGGACGTCGATTTCAAATTAGGGAAATTCAATACTGAGTATGTTTTCACTTCTACAAGTATTGAGTTTCTCAAGACTAATTGTACTTAGCTACGATTGCATGTACCTCGAAGGACCAATACAATTCTGGACTCGCGGTGATGGCGGTTACCAAAATCTTTGCTACAGAAAGGGGCCATCTTGCTCCTACGATGACAATACTGGGGATCTCAACTGCGCTACTATTGGGCAACCACCACCAGGAAATGGAGACCCAGAACACAACAGAATGCATTCTAAGTTGCACGGGCGTACAGAAATGGACGTTTTTTAACTGTCTATCTCAACTGCGCTGCTACTGGACAACCAGCACCAAGAAATGGATACAGATTTTGTTTTGTGTTGAAGCAAATAACGTTCCGTTGTAGCTGGTCTGCCAAAGTTCAAGGTGTCGACACATTTTGTAGTGCCCTTCTATTCTTGTACATATTATTAGTAATGACCCTTGACCTGAAGATAATGACATTTTTTTTTTTCGAAACTAGGTTTTTTCTTATTGCGACAGTGATGCACTATATGAGATGTGATTGTCTCTATCAAACATTTTGACTAGTATTGAATTCTTGCAACATGCATAGATTTCCCAGTCATCTAGAGTTCGCAGGTTTCACCTAAAGTAGAGTGCTTGTACATTTGAGTGTCTTGAAATGACAAGAGGTTCTTTGCCGTGGGATTTGTGGCTTGAACTCAATCTAGTGAGGTAATATGAAAGGCTTTCGATGCAATAACCTAAAAAGTGCGCAATAAAAAGTACTATGCTGTCTTTACAAAGTTTAATCACATCTAAGATTTCCCTGTGTTGGTTTGACTTATCGTCAATATGTGAGGTGCAATACAGGAAGAGGCTAAACCTTAGTATTAGACTATTCCTATTGTATCGTGCACACTGAACAAAGGTAGTAGGGCACGGTCGAGTGTAGCTACCTAATCGAGTGCAGTTACCTGATCGGGTATAGCATATAATCGAGTGAATATACTCGATTATATTATACCGACACCTTGATTGAGGTTTACTAAAAGCTCTTCTGGTGTTTTGAAAAAAGTGTATCATGAAAGGGAAAGTAAATACAAACAAAGCCATGACGAACAGAAATACAAAGCGAAAATAGTCAGCATTTTGTGACCTAAACTTTTCATTCTATCCAAGATACATTCGTAACCAGTACATATCAGGCATCTGTGACAGTTTTTGATTTAGTGAATAAGGGTTCGCTTAGCGAAGTTGCGGGTGTACCCTTCCGTAGATAGACAAATACCTAAGGAGTGCGAAGAGCGTCTCTCTTCCCTCCTTGCGAACAATCTATTCCTTGATCCCCACCATAACAGCATCCACATTTCAACTCCAACATCTCATAGCTTCCCTCTCAAATCCTTCTCACCCCCTTCAACAAGTTCCCAAACCCTCACCGCAACACCAAAAGAATAAATATATCCCGCCCCCCCTGCCCCATAAGCATGCACTACCNTCTCAAATCCTTCTCACCCCCTTCAACAAGTTCCCAAACCCTCACCGCAACACCAAAAGAATAAATATATCCCGCCCCCCCTGCCCCATAAGCATGCACTACACTCCCCACTCTCTCAACCCTCAAACCCTCACGTCTACCCGGTCTAAACCCAACAATATCCTGCACATCCTCCAAATCGACATTCGCAAAAGCCCCTTTAGAAATCCGATTCACCCTCGCTAAAATGTTCGCCTTGAGGGAAGCGTCGACATCCGTATCTAACCGCTCAGACTTGACTCCACCAATAATGACGCCACCGGAAAGAGGTCGAGGGATTATGTATGTGTATTCTGTGCCTTCTAACATGAATAGCCTTTCGACATCTGACTTCACGAACATGGTTTGGCCACGGATAGGGTGGACTGAAGTGTCGTTTGCAAGATGTTTGGCGCCGACGCCGGAGGCATTAATCAACAGTTTAGATCCTGTGATGGCTTTCGCCTCTTCTAGCGAACTAACTTCTTTTCTAAAGAAGTTTACACCACGTCCTAGAAGTCTGGATTCCAACCAAGGAAGGAAGATGAGAGGGTTAATAGCTAAGGACGTGTATTTCACCCCGAATACAATTCCTGGTGGTAATTCCGAAGAGGGTACAACACGGTAATCCGGCATCAATGACTTGTACCACGGATCTTTGTCAAAACCTTCGGTATCAAAGTATTCGGTCATAGGATACATCTGAACGCCACACGTTGAGTTTTCTTTAGCGAGCTTTTCGTAGAAAGCAAATGAGTCACTTTGCATTTTCCGAAGAACAGAGCTGTTCGTTGCCTGTGGATGAAAGACTGCTCCTCCCCTATTACATACTATGTCAGAAAGGTAATGCAATGGTGAAATCGAGTGTTCTCGAACCATGGACTTGCCCATTTGGTCCCCAGATCTCCGGGCAAATCACGCGCAACGATTATAACTTTGTACTTGCTCGAGAGGATATGAGCACAAGCTAGTCCGGTTATTCCTGCCCCGATGATCCCGATATGCGTTGAGTCTTTCATGATGACCTGGATGGTGGTGTGTGAAAGTAAGATTGATCATACTGAGTACGCTGCTGTGGAAAGTGGGGAAACCCAAATCATGTGAGCAAGTTTTAATAATGTGTCGTGTTTTCGATAAATGTCACAAAGTTGATTATTAGGATTAACTTTGCGCCACCAAGGTCAATGTATCTGCTCTGGATATCTTTAGAGTATATCGTGCTCAGCTCTATCACGTGCGAAAATCTCATGCTCGCTTCAACAACTCGGGTTAGCTTAATATCTATAGATTAAAATTATAGCTGGAATCTGTAAATGATACATATTGAGTTCTCAGGCGCTTTACAGATAGCCCTCAATACCATGCAACTAGAGGGTACAGGTTCTTGAACTTTACTCAAAGATCGGGATCTAACATTTAAGGATAAAACCAAGAAAATACTTATATCGGTAATTGACTAAACTACCCCCTAATTAATTAAAAAGTCCTCGAATACCCCTTGCGTAATTCGGAATTGACAGGACTACCCCCTAATTTATGCCCCTCGAAAAAAGGAGTAGTTCTGTTAGTATCGCTTAAAAAATAGGGTATTTCTGATAGTAAACATTCACCACTTTTTATATGTATCTACACCTATTTTTCAGTGAATCAAAGCTACAGCGTCCTGTTACCATAATAATTTACTACAGTACCTTCTCCCTTTAACTCCGCCGCCACCATATACACCACGCCACCACCAGGATTACCACCATCACTACTATCACCGCCAATATGCTGGCAAACCAGCTACGCGCAAAGCTTCGGACACCTCCAGAACCTTGTCGAGATATTAAGAAAAAGCTAGCGAAACAACAACAAGCTAGCACCGATAGTGCCTTCGACGAAGTGGTGGTAGAGTACTTTGCCCTAAATATATCGAACCTAACGAGTTCCTCGAGGGTTAGAACGTATTAAGTAGAGAAGAGATAGTAAAGTATAAAACTAATTAGTATATAATTAACGGCTACTATTATTACGCGGACAATAAACCAAAAGTTAACTCTAAAGGAAAGCGACTCGGACTAATAATCTAGGACCTTATTAGTATACTAGGTAATATAGACAAAGAGCGACGAGTAAATTAGTATAAGGAAAAGGAGGTGAATTCTTATAAAAAGCGACCTAATTTAAAATACCTGTTTTATAAGGAGATAGCTTAATAACAAGAGGCTTAAGGACAAGGACTTAAGGATATTACTCGTAATAACGGAATTAAGGCTTAGGAACAAGGAACAATTAATAATAAGTATAAGCGTAAGCGTAAGGAGTACTAGTCTTAACCTCTACTAAATTTAACAAGAAGTGAACTATAGGGTAGGAAATAGGTAGTAGTAAATTAGTTTACCTTATTCACTAATTTACTAGTGTATTTATATATAGGAACTAATAAAGAAATAAAATCCTAGGACTACTATTTACTAATAGAAATACCCTTTTTTATAGAATTACTAATAGAAATACCCTACCTCTTAAGTAGTACTAATAGAACTACCCCTCTTTTAGGGGGTATAAATTAGGGGGTAGTCCTATTAATTTCTAATTACGTGAGGGGTATTGTCACGGATGCCAACAAAGGATAAAGTGTATACAGCTTTTGAATCAATTGCTAGAACTAAAACCGTAGGTACGAAGGAATCAAACTAAAGAGAGAAGAGAATCTGAAAGGAGCGAAGTTATTTAAGTTGTTCCAATGCCAAGTCTCGTCACGTGCTTGGCCAAGCGAATGAAATCCTGTCAAATGAAATCCAGCTCCGTCACAGGTATTTAAGGACTTTTCAATTAACTAGGGGGTAGTTTAGTCTATTACCGTACTTATATTAAGGAACTTCGTATTAAGATTTATCTATAAATACGATTCTAGCTCGTCGCTTAATATAGAGCGAGGGTATATTACGACACATTACCCTATAAGAGTTATAACGAACAATGTCTGTTTCTTTACTACTAAACGGGGTATATAAATATCCGTTTTTTTCTACTAGTAATATACTCATCAAGGACGGACAAAGTCTAATATCTTTTAGTAAAACGGGAACGGCTATAGGGTACCTTCCGTATAAAACTTATTTTAGAAACAAATATTATTTATAATATAACGATAACCGTAAAAGCTATAATTAAACTTCTTTTATTTACTTATTTACTAATTTCCACGTTTACTTATTTATCTACTAATATACTAAAAAATATATGCCTACCTAGCTAACGAGAGAAGAGGGGAGGGGTATTAGAAGAATAAGGGTAGAGACTTATAGGTAGTTTATTAAAGTAAACAAAAAGTAGACTTAAGCTCTATAATATAAACAAACAGCTCTAACATACGCTCGTAGCTCACCTAGGTCACCTAACCCCTTCAAGAACATTTCAAAAAGGTAGTTATCTCATCGAAGTAATAAGACCTATTACCTAACATCCCATTCCTTTCATTTAACACTTTATTACTTGTAGTTAGGATAGACAAAGTTAGCCCTTAAGTTCCTATAGTACTCTTCGTCTCCGCTTAGTAGAGAGGAGAGGGTTAAAGTGAAATAAATAGTTATATCCCTATTTATTCCTACGTTTATACGATAATACGCTTAATTAGTTGGGATAGATATTATTTCCCAGAGGGATGTAAAGAGGTTAGGAGAAGGGAATTCATAGGGATCAAGTAGTCTACTCTACTCTCTTTTATCCTCCTTATATCAAATTTTATACTACTATCCTCACTACTCCCTACCCCTACTCCCCATCCTCCACACACATCAAACCCCTCCCTTTACATCACTTCATTAAATCCTTTACGTTTACATCACTTCCTTGAATCCTTTCCCTAACCCTTCCCTAACCCTCCAACTCCCCCCTCCCCCCTCTCCCCAATCCAAACACCCATCCACCCTTCCATCCCACATTCCCCAATCCTTCCATTCCCAAGCTCCTCACACATCCGCCTCACACACCTCAATTCTCCACATTCCACATTCCTCGTAGAACTCCCTCCCTCGTGGATTCCTCGTGTATAGAACACACCACTCCAAGACATGAAGCCACCACGTACACCTCACACCACTACAAGACACAAAGCCACCACGAACACACGCCATGGACACGGCATGTCACTTCCGAAACACCCCTAGTATGGTACCGAACACTCGGGATTCTAATTCATGTCTCGCTTGTCTCTCGTCTCCCATCTAGAAATTCTAGGATTCTAGGAAATAAACAAACCTAAAGGAAACGTACGAGTTCCTAATTGTCTCGTCTCTCTACGTAGTCATTATCGTACCTACTCCTTCTAGCAAGGCAAAGCAAAACTCATCCCTTGTAAAACATCCTTAGTACATACATACATACATACGCATCCAAACCCTCGGGACCCCATCTCGTGTAGTGTAGAATTAAGGATGGGGATAGATAGGGATCAGGATAGGATGATGTGGCGTACTCTTACATGAAGAAAGAAAGAAAGTAAACAACCCTCATCTCGAAATACCGTGAAGGAATATCGTCGAATCGTGGGTCCTGTCTACTGTACTGTATTGTAAGATTACCATCTCTCTAGCAAGCCTCTCTAAGAAGAGACCATTAGACAGAAAGACAGAAGAAAGTTTATCCAGCTTAGTACAATAAGTCAAGTCAAGTCAAGTCAAGTCAAGTCAAGTCACATCATATCATAACCCCACACTCAAGACAACAGGCCCATTTAGAAAAAGAAGCCGAGGAGAAGAAGAATATATATAATCACCACATCACATTATATAATATCCTACCCCCTTCCCTCATCCATCAACCACCCCTCCCCTCTCACCCTCCCCCTCC